AGGTCACAGTGGAGAGAAGGTAGAATCTTTATTTGACTACCCCCTCAAAAAAAGTACCCCTGGTGTCTCTCTACAAAAGAAATGTTATGAGTTGCTGTTTTAAGAATATAGTCTTTGGGCTAGGGAGTTCGTTTTATAAACGACACGGGTCAATTTTTTTTATCAGCAGGAAGCCGTCAGTTAAAACGATTGAAAACTGTTCCGTTTATAGCCGGAGACGTTAGCAATCGAGTGTTGAAGGTCATCGTTTGCATTGCTTAAGTCAATTAAACCAAACGGACGAACTTACAAACTCTGTTTCCAGTTTGAACGAGAGCGTTCGGCTCGAATTAAGTGGAGATTAGCGAATTCCTGAGCCAATCTGTCTGTCAAAAGTATTTTTGGACTGAGCTCCACTGTCAGAATGAAATCAACGTTAAATTATGCCCTTCGTGAATCGATGAACCGTTGAAATCGGTTTTGATCAAAGCTCGTCTTTTCCGGTCCTACTTCTGATCAGGAAATAATCGTTCTCCGAATCGGTACACGGAAGAATTTTCCAGTTGCTTTCACGATTTTCTACTGTCAATTTATTGTATAAACTGCAATTAGACGTTTTAAAAAATCAGTTTCATTCGTTTTGGAGTGCCTAATCGCTCATGTATGATAGCAATGTTCAATTAATTATTCTTTATATAAGGAATTGGTCGAGATAAAAAATTTTCCCCGAGAATCAAATATATTACACGACATTTGAAAAAATGGCAAAAAGGAGGGAAAATTCGAAAGGTTGGTTGAGATGAGAAGTTGGTGTCCGAGTGGATCGAGGTCACGATAGCTCAAGCGGTAGAGCAGCGGCGTATCTAGCCGAAGGTCGTGGGTTCGAATCCCGCTCGTGACACTTACTTTTTTGTCTCAACTAAAAACCTTAATTAATTGAAAGATTGGTCAAGCGGACTACGAAAATAAATGAGTTTTCATAAATGTTTACTTTTATACTTTGGTTAAATAATCCACCCATTTTTATGTTAAAACGTGAAAACTAGTTTTGAACGGTGGATAAAAAACGCTTGAAACGTTGAAGAATATATTTCCGTGAAAATATTTTTATTCAAATACATTCAAAGACAAAAAACACCGACTGGATAGTTTTATTTATTTTCCATAATAACTAGAGATAAAGATTAACAGTTGACTTAAAAAGTATACGACAAGAGCCAATTTGTCGAGTGAGTTAATTGTCTTTTAAAAATTTTTTTATCTCAGCCAATACCTTACATAAACATTAACTAATTGAAAGAAGTTATTTGGTCAATCGGACCACGAAATCTAATGGATTTAATAAGCAAAATAAAGTATATCTCCACTAAAGCTCGCCGTGGCCATTTCATTTGTCGCCAAGAATCAAATAGATTACACGACATTTGAAAAATGGCAAAAAGGAGGGAAAATTCAAAAGGTTCCCTGAAGTTCACGACCAAGCATACCTTGTTCCGACTGATCTACTGGCGATCAAAGCTCTCCTTTTTTGTTGTCATAGCTGGAGTTCTAAAACGTCCTGAACTGTCAACAGAAGAGCTATTTTCCACCTCACTTAACCCATTAATAAGACAGATTTTTTTAAACATTATTGTTTTCAAAAACTAATTCTATTGGTTCAAAATTTTGGAAATTGATAACATTTTTATGTAACTTGTCTACTGTTATTCCTTCAAATATTGGTCAAGATTATTACATTTTATTTATTTATAATAGCATACTAAAGCTGCGTAAGATTGTGTATTGAATTGGTTAATTGTAAGATATTGTTTTGGTACCAAAAAAATGCATTTTTAATCGTTGTATCAATTGTAAAATATATGTTTATACCTAAAAGGATCATCCTTATTTATTTCAATTTTGCAACGAAAAGTGCATTTTTAATACTATAGCTTGCATATGACCCTAAAGTGTGTCAGAACAGGGTTAATTTTTCAATAATAAAACACCCTTGTCATGAAGATATAGATAAATTATTTTTTTGTTTTAGCTTGATAGGGATGAGGCCAATTAGAAAGAAAACTCTGAGTACTCACGGCCAAATTTCGACGAATATATCCCATTTCATCAATGTTTCGAAACTTTAATTAATAACCTAAAGGACTAACAAATACGAATGTACAATCACAATTTTGAAAAATACGGTTTCAAATAGAATGGAATTGAAAATTGAGAACAAATACCACTTGATTGAACATGGCCAATAATATATCGGAGATAACCTGAATTTGTCTAGTTTTCACGCCTGAAGTGATGTCTTTTGTGATAAGTGAGCTTGAATAGTGATAGTATATAGAGCTTACAACCAATACAAAAAAAAGTAGATTTGGCATGGATTGCCATTGTTGGAGTTCAACAAATTAGATGCATCTCTCTTGATCTGTAGAACGTTGATTTGTGTACAGAGTTTTATGAATGTGTCGGTTTGTATAATTCACCAGTATCCGATTTGAAAAACAACCCTGTTTAACTTTGGCATGAGTTAATATATATGAGCCTGACTATTGTCCTCTGGGAGCGGGAATAGCGCAGGACTGCATACTTGGACCGATCCTTTTAGTCCTCTATCCTCAGATATAACTTCACCCTCCACCATCATCATTTGTCGATGAGAGTGCGTAGGGCAGTGTTGAAGAGATATGTTATAAAAATAATAGCTTTTTTTAGAAAGTTGGGATAGAATAGTAGGGGTAATCGGCACAGCTGTACTATCCTCTGATCCCGATTGCACAATTGCTTCGGAGGAGCTCCAGGCACATGCCCTGCAAATAGCCAAATGAAGGAAACACTGATGTATATAGCTAATTGTAAATAAAGTCATGTATCATTCATCCTTCCAAGCAAAACACGTCATAGAAAATTCCTCAATAATACTACCATACCAAAAACAGACTACGTCCGTTACCTTTGGTTCTAGCTAGACTCAAGACTGACCTGGAACCACACACACACACGACTAAAACAACAGTACCATACCGACTAGTGTCATGTAAATCTACTGACAATCATAATCATGAAAATTAATCATGAAAAAACTGACAATCTGCTAGACAATATTAAACCAATCTGGATGAACTAGAACTGTGGGGCATCGATAAACCTTCCACATCCAAAGAATAAGTCCTTCCAATCCAAAGACTTCAGAACCGTAGTCAATGCTCCTACGTCTTCAACATCACCACCACCATGACCCCCATCACCCATCACAACGATTTCCAAATACCTCTCGAGCAAACTATAATCCCCAAAACATTTTATACTTTACACAATAAACTCTCCTCTCACCCCAATCGAGTTGCCTAAACCTTATCTCATAGAAACCACCCCTATAATCTCATAAGACGACTGAAGGAGGACTCCTGGCAATGTTAGGACGGAGTCGGTTTTCAAGGAAATTTGAGATTGCCCGTAAAAACCTTGAATGTGGCAATTGTGGACATATTTAAGATGGATTTACCCTGGTGATGACCTTAAAATAGGCCGAAAGATTGGAGGTAAAACCTGAAATTGATTTTTTTTCTTCAATACCACACCTTCATCCAGTGTTCGTGAGTGAAAAAGTGGTCGAAACTTCTAATGCCGAAATCACAGGTTCGTCGAATGGTCAAGCCTGGATTCCTTTCGGGCCTTCTGCCCTTATTTTTGGGAGTTATGCGACTATTTAGTGGAACAATTTCGGATTTAAAGTCACCAAAACGTATTTTCATTGAATCTCTCAGTAAGAATGCTAGTCGTATCGTAGTTTAGATAGCTTAAATCGTCATATTGAAATTAAAAGAGAAAATAAGTTTTCCTTCTACTGTTTGCAAATCATCTGCCAGAACAAAATGGTGCGGATAAACGGCATCAAGATGAGGTTAACGCTTCTGTTGACCGAAACTTTTTTTTAAAATAAAGTCTCGTCCTACGCCAATAACAGATAGGATAAAATTGTCCGGTGTAAACAAGAAAACGGCACTTCGCATTCGTTTCCGATTTATCACCAATCTTCTTAGAATCGCGAATTGGCTTTGTTTGAATCCCTCCCTAAGGACTATCGATCCCGATTCAAATTGTGAGGCCCCATCGATCCTTCGGCCTTTAGAAATACGCTGCTGAAGAAAGGTAGATCCCAGATTAAGGCCTATCTTGGGTGAAAGACCAAATCCTCGCATTTTACGGTCGATGTGATTAATCCTCCTTGTCTGATCACTTATTTCCTCTATAGCTCAACTTAGGCTTAAGAAGCACCTATTTACAAACAATGGGCTTAGCAGAATTATTCCAAAAATATTCATTTACTCGAGAGATCAAAAATATTGTTTAAGTCATAATAAATTTGTAAAATGAAATAGTACCAGTGCTTTCAGTTCTTACTTTGGGACAAACAACTTTGAACTATAGAATTTTATTTTATCTTATCCGTTTTTTCATGACGAAACTTCAAATAAAACATTTATTTTTATTAGCATAAACATTTTAAAATATTGGTTAACTTCAAGGTATTACCATCAAGGTCCCAGGTTCGAATCTCATTAATCCAGACTTCATACCCAAAATGGTCTTTTTTTCAATAACACTTGATCACTGATTTTTATCGAACTATTTTTTCAAGATATATTAGGGTTATGTTTTTGTTTTTAGCCAGGAGGATAGAGCAAACCCAGGATGTGGTGTACTTCACTGCTAAATTGGGACAAATAAGTTCAAACTATAGAATTTCATTTTATCTTTTATCAGTTTTATGAAACTTCAAATAAAACATTTATTTGTTTTTACAGGCACAAAACACTTTAAAATATTGGGTTTTTTAAACCTTATAACTTCAAAGATGCCAGCGGTTCTGGCATTTGCAGTGTGACTTTCACTGAAAGATCCCATGTTCGAATCTCTTTGACCCTGAATTCATAGCGAAAATGTTTTTTTTCTTTCAAAAAACACAGTCATTTTTATCAACCTAATTTTTCTTGATTCATTAGGGTTTTGTTTTTGTTTTTGGCCAGGAGGTTGGAGCGGACCCCAGGATGCGGTGCACATCACTGCTATTTTGGGAGAATCGGTGGTGTTCAACTGCCCTGTCGACTTTCCACAAGACCACCCAGTCCCGTACGTACTGCAATGGGAGAAGAAGGTAGGCGACACGGTAGGCAAACACAAAACACATATACTATATCTCTCTCTATGCATTGTGAATTAGTTTGTGCTGACCTGGTGTCACTCCCCGTAAACCTGTCTGTCCTTCCTTGCCTAGTTTACTCTCCTGTGTACTGGCAATGCAGCAGCCTAAGTGCACAATAAATGGCACCAGGAAAGCAAGGGTGAGCAACCCCCGAAAGTTTATTATGAAGAATGTATTAGAGGAAACTTTTTAAAAGAAAAGAGAAACCAACTCAAGACTTGGCTCGCACAGGCTTAATTAGCATATATTTTATTTTGTTTTTAGACTCTTCATACCAAAGATCAAAATACAATATATCAGTTATTTTGATCCATTATAAATTTGTTTGTGTTAATTTTTCTAGCTATTAACATGTATTTAAGTTTTTTTAGCTTGTAACTACATTTGTAAGCAAAATAACAATTGTTAACTAAAAAAAAGGAAACAGCAAAAAAAAGTATACTTTCAAAATACCTTAAAAAATTTTAATAAAATTGACTTAAGGTAAACAATACACCTATATTTGGCTAATGTAGAAATAATGTTGCCAGCTGTAGACAGATTTGGGATTGAAACGAGGAACAGGAAAAAAAGGATGCTTTCTAAACAAAGTTAATCACAATTGTAATAATCGCTTAATGCTTTTCGCATGGATTTCTAATGCTGACCTTTAAATTGATTAGATTATTTGGCAATATTGGCTTGTTTTATATTGCTGAAATCATACTAGGTAATCAACTATATTGAATCGGCAAATTTAAAATCGAATAAAAACATAGAAAAAGGAAAAGTTATATTTTTTCCACGATAAGTAAAGAAACAAATGAATGTTACATGTTGCATGCAATACACAAATTAAATTGTTGAATAACAAATAGGTATTTTAAAAATGTGTATTTCTTAAACTTACAGAAGCCCAAATCAGCTTCTTACAGCTGTTTGCCTTGTGTAGTTCTTATAAAAATTCTAACACTTATAAATATTATTAAAAAATAATCTCTCATGAAATTACGTTAACAAATTTATTTGTTTGTGAAACTTTATAAGTTTTAATGTATACATGCCAAATTTCAACATTGGATGTATTGTATTTTGTATTTTTGTAACATAGGATGTATATGTAACACTGGGATTGCCACTGCTGCATTCATAAAACCACCATAAAACCATACAAAAGTCAACAAAAAGCAAACAGTCTTTTAGGACACAAATTGATAACAAACCTGGCCTAAAAGAAAGCTAAAAACAAAATTAAAATAATATTTTGACAAACCCTTCAGTTTGGAAGAATAAAACCCCTGACACTATTAGAATATTATGGTATAAAGATGAACCCAAAATGGAATATCGAGCACAGACTGGAATCCAAAGTTCAAATTTTGCCCTAATAAAATCTACAACATCCATTTTGCAAGCTGAAATCTATGCAGTAAAACTCTATGCAGAAAAAAAGCTTAAAAAGAGGTTAAACAGTTCACAGGCATATTCTCAGAGGGCCAAACAGCACTGAAGCTTTAGACTCTACCTTTAACTCAAAGCTGTTCAGGAAAATTCTTAAAATATTCCAATTCCTAGAAAAACAAAATCAGGTATTGACACCACAGGATTGAAGACAACAAACAGGCTGACAAACTAACAAATGAGGAGCCTCAGACCCTTTGGAGCCGAACTGCTAATTGCCACATTCAAAAGCATGTTAAAGTCAGAACTGAACAAACTGATGGCGAAAGAAATGATCCGCTGGATGAATTAACTGAATTAAGGTTAAGGTTAAAATGACTGGCCTAGTTATGACCAATATTGGACTAATGTGCAACATAAAGCTTTTTACCAGATGCGGAAGCTTTGATAAGTCATCTGTATCATTCAGGCCTGGATTTTTTCTTCCACGAGCAGAAATCTCAGCCAGTATACGCATCAACAGAGGATGTTCCAGTAATTCCTAATCTTCCTAGTTAATCTTCTGCTTAAATTACTGTTGTGCCGAGTTTTGAATATATGATTTTAGAGTCTGCAGTCCTATCATCCTAGTTCTAATACATCCTAGATTTAGTAGTTCTGTTAGTTTCTGCAATGGCACTTTAATGAAATGTTGTTGTTTGTTGTTTTGTTGGAATACAACACTATTGAATCAAGGACTTATTCATCTCAGATTCACCAGGTCCAAAACAAAAAAAAAATTTCTCAGCATCTCAACAAGGAAAATTAAAATGAACCTTTCTCCCAGCAGGCAAGAATTAAGGAAAATAATAGATTTTTACTTTGGCCATTGTCCAGAAACGGTACAGCCTCTTAAGAAAGGTGTTACTGATACTTAGATTAATTAGCAAACAGTGCATTACCTTGAAAGTAGTGATGAAGATGATGGAAATATCAAAGGGTGATTTCCACAATATGTAGATCTTTTAGGTCACAGTGAAACAAAGAGAAACTTAAGTCATTATTTGATTTGTAACTTCAATAACATTAGCACTTCTAAAGCTGATTAATAAGGATCAGTTTTATTCTGTGCAGAAAACGTTCCTATGAAATAAGTGAAGAAGAGCCCTAGAAAGTGCACTAACTTTTAAGTATAATATGGTAGATATGGAAACAAAGAAGGATCACTCTGTTAGATGGTAGTGGAAGAACTAGAGGAAAAGTCAACATATAATTTCTTGTGTCTTGAAAAACGTTTATTTTACAAGTTGCATTTCCCTTTGATGATAGGAGGATACTAGGAAGCAGGGGGTTTGATATTCCCCAAGCACTGCAGCCTTTTGGTATGTACTTTTCCTATTTCCTTCGTTTAGTGCAATTCACTCAATCCTTCTTTTAAGAAATAGAAAGTGTGACTGTCATTGCTGTAATTCTTTTTTGCAAGTTTTCTTGATACCCTAGGTTTTGTGTCCATGGAGACATTGCTTTGTATTTGAATGTGGATGGCAGTTTCACCCTCCTTAATGCATAACCTAATGCATAACATAATGTGGTTGTCGTTGAATATGTCCTTGTTGTGTGGATGTTTGCCAGTGACCAATATTTGTACTTCCTTTAGTGAATTGTTGTGCTAAAGGATGAGGATGATAACCTGACTTGGCACAAAACCAAACCTCTCAAATAATTGAGAACCGTTAAAAATTTTCAGAAAAAATTGGAGTTGATTCATTCAGGCCTAGTTGCACTTATATTTATGCATACAAATAAGCTTTATTAATTTATTTCTGAAGCAATAGGCTTAAAATGTCATAATTAAACAAAATTGTTTTACGTAATCTCTCAAACTCTGAGTATGCATATAAGGGAGGTTTAATTCATTATTCATGGCTTATGAATATTCATGGAAATAATTAAATCAATTGTAGCTCCATTTTTCCCTAGCTTTTTGAGTAGGCAACTTATGTTTGTGAATTAATATTTATGCAAATTTACATAAGTGATTATTACTGATCAACAAAAATCCTCTTTATTTATCTTTTCACTGAGGGAAGAAATTTAAAAAGTCTAAAGTTTTTGATGATCATCCCACTTGAAGCGATTTGTTGTGCAGGCAAACTTCTCAGAAAATCTCCGATCTGAGAGAATTAACATATTTCAGCCATTTGGACTGATCAATTTATTGGCCCTTCTGAAGATAATTGACCATCATTTTTGGCTGCAATCAGACTAAGCACCCCTTGAATGTGAAGAGGGTTCAAATATTTCAAAGCTGGCTCTACCAATCAATAATCTCATTGAGATCTACTTGTCAAAGGTCGAAGCTATTCATTTGTGCCCTTTACTGATGATCCGTTGATTTATTTTTTTCAATTATTTCTTTAGAATATACAAATAATTGAATGTGCCAATATATGACGTGAAAAAACAAACAAAAAACATGCCAGTCACAATTAAAATAACAAAACTAGATAAACTGAAAAAGAGTAGGTAATTGTTTATTTCTTAGATGCTTGGTTTGTTATTGGTTGATAAAAAAATTAATTGATTTAAATTTGTTAATATGTTGACAAAGTTTATTTTATTAGTAATTTCAAACAATACAATTGTTTAAACTTTTTTTTAATAAAATCCACTTTATAAGTGGTCTGGTTTTATTGTTTTTAGCTTTAAAATAAGATAAGACTTTGTTTATCTCAATTGCTCGTGAGGTGATTGAATGCTGATTGATTAACAACATTAGAAGAGATTAACCGAATGTTTGCATACATCTGCTTGTAATTGCTGCTCATCGAATTTACACAGTTCAAGAGTTCAAGCTTCGGAGATCTTGTCTGGTCGAGTGGATCCACAAACATGATTTTATTGATGATCAATTGATCCATTATTGATTAATGTACAGTAAATCTTAGCATGTCATCGAAAGGACCTTTTGTAAAAGAAGTAATGTTAAATATTGAGTTTTCACTTTTTGTTTCTTGTTCATGTGGTAACCTTTATTTAAATCATTAAATGAAGATGAAAAAATAATGGTTGAAAAATTCTCACTGATTTTGCCTATACTTCAATTTTCATGTTGGTGGTTCAGAGTATAAGAAAAATCCAAGGACAGTGCTTGGAATCAGAACTAACACATCATCAGTTACAAAGTGAGGATGCTAATGTCTTAACCCATTCTACCACTGTAGTCCTTCAATTATATAATAACTTGAATATATATAATCAAAATTAAAATAATAATAATAATACTAATGATTATTTGGAAATCTGGTGTGACTTAGGTTTAGAAAAACATTTTCTTTATTGTGCCAACATTTCAATCTTTATTGAGATCATCTTCTAAATACCACACAAAATAGTACAACAAATCAAGTATGTTTTTATCTGCCCTCTAAAGGCCTGGATGTCCCAACCTCTGGAGCTACAAATACTATAAAAAATTGAATGAAAATGACAGCGTTGATGGGTCCAATCAACAGAGAAGTTCTTGCACATGTATTGTCAATAGGTGACCCTCAAAGGACCAAACCCAGCCAGAGAAGAAGGGACATCCTCTCATCATTAATAATAGGCCATGCAAGGTTTATAAATGGACAAAAAAGCCCACATGTCCAGCATGTGGAGAGATAGTTTACTCTATGTGCCCCATCTAGTTGAAGGGGTTCAGTGCCTGGGATAGTAGAGTTAGAGCAATATCCAGCTAGATAGCACATTGTAATGTCACTCAATGAGTCCCAAAATTGGGGACTGAGGTAGCTGAGCGGTTAAGATGTCAGGCTCTCGGCTAGTTGATCCTACAGTCATGGGATCACCTCTGGACTTTTTTTTGTCTAAGAGGACCAATAAAAATTGACAGCACTCATTAATGGAAGGTCTGGGGCGTGATTGGTTCACAGCAGCCCTTAATTTTATCCCGACCCCCTTCAAAAATGTGTTTCTTCAAGGGAGGAACTCCAGCACACCATGAGCTCAATTCATGTGTGTCAGACTTGTAATTTCTTCCGCTCTAGAGAACAAAGAAATTTGCTTGAGTGTGGATACAGCGCTATCGTTTGATTTGGTCTGGCACCCTGGAATTCTTTATAAACTTTAACCTTTCCTACCAACTTTAATACCCTATCCTGGAATCATGTTTAATTGACAGCTGCTACAAAATGAGGTGTGGCAATGAATACTTAGATAACACAGTTATACAATCTGGTATCCCACAAGGGTGCATACTTAGTCCTTTCCTGTTCACCATTAATACTGTTTATTTTCTTATCTCAATAGATGGCATTACAATTCTGCCTTCTAACCTGAATCCTATCCAACCAACCTTCAACATCCACGGACACATTGTGTTTATCAAAGACTGGCATAAAAAGTGACATGACTGAGGAAAATGTACAGGGTATACATTTACATTGGAAAAAATCTTACATTCCACTGTATATCAACAAAGGAGCTATTGACTTCCAGTAAGTCAGATACTTAGACCAACAGCAGACTGACATGGAATTCCTACAGAAGACTTATGAGACCTGGATAAAAAAAAGACTTAGGGCCAAAATCTTTTTGACTATCAAAACTCAACTAACCTTGTTAACAAGACATTATTACTACTATTTTGGGCATGCAGAACTGTAGGGCAAATCTACCCAACTTCCAACATCCAATCCATTCAATCAGAAGTCCTCAGACAAATTGTCAAAACTTACATCATTGACCTCAAATCCACGACAACCTCAATATTCCTTTACATGAATTGGAACTGTGGGCTTCCTCCAAGTCATCCAATATCCATTGGATCCAATTCTTCCAATCAAAATTTATCATTCTTGGCCTCTACTGTACATCAATAACAAGTAGGACTTCCACTTAAGTCAGATTCTTAGGACTATACCTAGGTAGCAGATTAACATGTAATCTCTACACAAGACTTAAAAGGCAATAGCCGGATTACAAAGAATTTAGCAATGAAATAGTATTGACCATCAAACCTCATCTAACTATATAGAACCTCACATTCTACAATGACCTTGACGTTCCTTTTGCCAACGAAATACAGATTCCAAAACTTACACACCAAGTTCTTGATCCATCCTAGCCCTACTGCCCGAGCCTATTCTTCTGAAATCCTTCCAAGTCACCCTAAACGATGATGACCTCGAGACTTCCTCGCCCCTTAAGGAACAACACTGACTGGCCATAGTTTCAGTGTTGTGACAAGAAGAAAAATAAATAAGTAAACCCAAATATTTGTATAGTATACTTTGATATATGTAAGCTAGAAGTAACTTATTTGTACTAAAATAAATAAAACTATTCAGTCAAATGTGATGCACCTATAGGCATATTTTGTCATTGTAATTTTTTATATGAAATTGCAAAATGAAAATTGTATCAAAATAAACGGAAACAAACTCTTTCTATCGCTTTGATCTTATTCACAAGACGCTTTTATTTTGTTGGAGCATGGATTTACACATAATTTCTTTACCTATATTTTTGTTCCATGAAAATTGATTAGATACGCTAAAACATCTGCTGAACAAACTGAGGCAGAAAGCAACTAATATGAAAACAAATATGAAATTTGTAAAGTGGCACACAAACCACTGTTTCCTTTTGTATATAAATAATGTAGAGGATCAAAATAATTGATATATTTTCTAATGGAATTATTTGAGTTAATATGAGAGAGATACTCTAAAAACTATACCCACACATAACATGCACACGTACACACAAACACAATACTCTAAAACAATTGCAATTGGAAAACAACCTAATTTTAAGTTATATTTATTATATAATACATTTTGATTTGATTGCATGATTGAAGTATCAAAATTTTTGTTGTTTTAAGTAGTTAAACCAATGACGTTTTTATTAGTATAATCTTTAAAATAAGAAATGAAACTTTCTTTTTTTATGTGGAAAAATCTATGTTATACAACTGATCATAAAACCTAAAAGACAGGCTTAGAAAGCTTTTTATAAGATGAAAAACAAAAATAAAATAAAAAGTAAATGTTACATGTAGACATTTTGATTTAGAATATAGTAACTTTGTTAACATAAATAGACAAAATAAACTCCATACTTTACAGAAAAAGAAAAGGAGAAATGATTTCTATTTCTGCATGCTTTATTAATTTTTTTTATAATTTTAATTTTTGATGAGATCACCGAGCTGGAAACTTGCTTGGCGTAAAACTTAAGAATGTACAATTATCTGCTGATTATGATGTGAATAGGGTGAGGAGATTCCGATCTATATATGGTACGATAGTTACCCAACACACTCTGGTGAGGGTTATGAAGGGAGAGTGTCCAGAGTATCCCAAGACTCGCCGTACGGTCTTGCATCGCTCAACCTGACGAACATAAGGGAGTCCGATCAGGGCTGGTATGAGTGCAAAGTAGTGTTCCTAAACCGCTCACCAAGTACACATAAGAATGGCACCTGGTTTCATTTAGACGTTCACGGTATGTCACATTAATTTTTTTTAAATTATTTTTTCAACTGGTTTTTCCTTACAGCTCCACCGAGATTTAGCGTGACACCTGAAGATGTAATATATGTAAATCTCGGAAATGCAATAATTCTAAATTGTCAGGCGGAGGGCACACCTGCGCCTACGATACAGTGGTACAAGGATGCAAGCCTAGTCGAGCCAGCCGGCACATCGGGCATCTTTAACGATGGCACTGAGCTAAGGATATCCAATATTAGGCATGAAGATATTGGTGATTATACATGTATAGCAAAGAATGGTGAGGGCCAAATTAGTCATACCGCCCGTGTCATTATCGCCGGTAAGTATCAACATCCCATCAACTTCAGGAGATGAGTGTTAGTTAAATTGTTGTTGTGATTAAAACCAAAAGGATATTCTTAAAAAATTTAGAATAATACAACAAGAAGTATTTCAGTAATAGTGTGTCCTTCTCGGGTGCTAGTGTGTGTCTTCCTTTTCCTTCAGGTATCGCAAAAGAGAGTCAACCTCATTCGTCACCCTTTACTTTGCAATTATCAAAATATGCAAAAAAATCTATTAAATGTCTGTGTGATTGTTGATGGATTAGAATAGAAAAGAGGTCTCTAAGAATGATATTATTTTCTGTGTGTAATTGCAAGTGTAACTTGTAAATTTCACTTCCTGGTAATAAAAGACTCCTGAGTTATCAATTTAACCATCTTAATTTTCTTTAAATCATAGTACAAAGTAGTAACTCATGGGAGTTTTTAACAAGAGCTTTATTTCATCTTTCTTAACTTCTCTAAGTTTAATAATTCCTGTCATACATGAGGGCTTACTATGGCATACCGTTCAACTACCCATTGGGGGTGACAAGGAAAAGGGGTCCAACCACTTTACAATACAGTTAATCTGAATTAAAATTCCACTGGCTATGTCAGGATTCGAACCCAGAACTTCTAGTATGGTAAATCGAGTCTGACACCTGAACCACTCTGCCATCGCAGCCCCATTTCAACTTCAGTAGTACAAGGCAGATATTTTCCTGTTAAATACAAACCCACTTCTTCCCCTTCTTCACTTCAGGGATTAAGTTTGCACCCTATTGTATATTATCTCAACAACCATTAAGCACTGGTCATACACTTTAACAAGTCAGGATTCCATCCATTATCAAGTACAATTGCTCCTACCAGTTGTTAGTTCACACTGTCATCAATGGACCAATGTATTTGTTAAAAAAGCACAACTGATAAACAACATCCTTGTCAGACACCTCGATTAAGTTTCATCTGTCTAGTATATTTCTTCCTATTAATGAGGATTTTGGTTTTCTCATATATGTTATCACTCTTACATAATTATATACATTGATGAAATGTTTAAACATAGAACATAAATCCTTTGAACACTCATCCTCTGAAGTTTGATCATTAATTGAATGATTGAAAAATGAATCCTAAATTTAACTAACTTTCCTATTCCAGGCGGGGCAGTCATTATGGTCCCCCCAACCAACAAAACCAACTTAGAAGGCGAGAAGGTTCAGTTCTCCTGTGAGGCAAAGGCCCTGCCTGGGAATGTGACAGTCAACTGGTGGAAAGAAGACACGCCAGTTAAACAAGTAGCTTCATTAGAGACCAGAGTGACCATCAGACGTGATGGCTCTCTTGTGATAAACCCTGTTGCTGCTGAAGACACAGGCCAGTACACTTGCCAAGTGACCAATGGTATTGGAGAACCTCAGTCAGCCTCAGCCTACCTTAGTGTCGAGGTGTATGTACTTTTTTTGTTTATTTCTATATTTTTTAATAATGTTTTTTTTTTTTTTTTTTTTTTTTTGTAGACCCTGCGAAAGTGACATTTACTCCAACTGTGCAATACCTTCCTTTCCGCCTAGGAGGTGTTGTACAATGTTATATTAAATCCAATCCTCCTTTGCAATATGTAACATGGACCAAAGATAAGCGCCTTCTTGAACCTTATCAAACTAAGGATATTGTTATTATGAACAACGGCTCCCTCCTTTTTACTAGGGTAAATATAGATCGGATTTTTAATGTTCCGATGGAAAGAAGTTTAAAAAATTGTTCTCCTCTAAACAAGGTAAATCAAAATCATCAAGGGAGATACACGTGTACACCTTACAATGCACAGGGCACTCAAGGGTCATCTGGGCCAATGGAGGTGCTGGTTAGGAAACCACCAGTATTTACTGCAGAACCGGAACCTTTGTACCAACGAAAGGTAATTCCTAAAATTCTTCAAGTTATACAGATTATTATTTTCTATAATTTATACAAAATTCAAGGCCATTCTTAATAATCAAATTTTACTCCCTTAAAAGTAAAATCACGTAGTGATGCTGGTCGGGTGCTTTTGCAGACATAAGGAAACACTTGGGTTGAGTAGGAACCCTTGCTCTCAAAGACCAATGGCACCCTTCAATTCACTCACCTCATCTTAAAATTCTATCTGTCTGATAGGTGCTTTAAAGGACAAATTAGAACATCCTTCTCCCCTATCCAATGCTGAAGTGGGTGTTGTGCTAGGCAGCACCCTTGGGCCCATTCTCTTTTCAGTATACTCTACAGACATATCAATCCCAATATTTTGCATATGGAAATGTGCTATCCTATTAGAAAACCAAGACCCAATGGCTTAAGAAACCAAGGGCCTTTTTGGAAAAAATGTTTCAAAAAATGGAGGATCAGACTGAACAAAGCCAAATCCATACAAATAATATCCAAACCATGCTTTGCCATATCTCCTCCAATCTATTATAACTCTGTTCCTCTCCCAGTAGCCATTGTAGTCCAATATTTGGGACTTTACATCAACAAATCTGCTTGGATTGGATGCCTGGACACCCACATTTAACCAAGTATTAGAACTTCCAAAGAATCCAATCACTCCAATCCAAAATCCTTCGAATCTTTGCCAAACTTCCTATTTCATATCCAACAGTACAACATATTCATCTAATCACACAGAAGTCCATAAAACCCTGACCCTCATCATAACCCTGTAGTTTAACCTGAATCCTTCCAGATAATCTTCCAAAAGGTGGTTTCATGATTTCCTCCCAGTCAGGAAAGGAATAGTGTTAGGACTGTTTTTTGTAGTTGTAAAATAATAAAAAATATAATAATAATGTAATTGAAGGCTGCAATTTTTTAAATTTGAAATATATGTTAGGTCGGTGAAACAGTTGAAATGCATTGTGATGCTCAGGAAGCAGAAGGGACTCAAAAACCTAACATCCAGTGGCAGAGGGTAAGTCTGATTACAAATCTATTTATAGATTATAGATTTGGTTAAATCAGTTATTTTTAAACCAAGGCAGGAAGCCGTCATGTTTATTTATTCTAAGGTTTCATTTCACTTTTGTATTTGCATTTATAGAAAGACGGGCAACCGCTCCAAAGGAATAGAGTGCGAGTGACTGGAGGTAATATTACAATTGAAAGTCTCAGAAGGAGTGATTTCGGCTATTATCATTGTGTGGCGAGCAATGAAGTGGCTACGATAGTCACAAGCACGCAGCTTGTTGTTGAAGGCACCCAACCACATGCGCCGTATAATGTGACAGCCAATGCAAGTGAATATGCTGTCACTCTCAAATGGCTGCCTGGCTATTCCGGAGGGCCGGACTACAAGCAAAACTACACCATTTGGTAAGAAAAATTGGAAAATCACTTTGGCACCATTTTACCATTTTTCTACCATTTTAAACACTATTGATTTTAGGTTTAGAGAAGCCGGAGAATCGGAATGGTCTACGTTGCCTGTCGCTACTTCTGGAAGTACGCAGGTAACGATAAACCAACTGACTCCTGGCACTACTTATGAATTCCAAGTGGTTGGGAAAAATGCTCTCGGAGATGGAATGCTCAGTAAAGTTATCACCGTCCGTACACTAGGTATGTTGAACATCATGTATTCACCTTGTGTAAATACCACATTTCCAATTTGTGCACACTATTAAATATAATAATTATAATGTTATTTCATTCACATAATGTGTTAAAATAAAATATCGGGTTTTTAATATTTTATAGAGAAAATCAGCTATAATTAGTAATTAGTTAATGTATTGAAAATTATGATTCCCAATCATGTTTTAGTAGAATCATAGAATTAAAAATCTTTTTGTATAAGCTTATTTTCAATTTATAGGACAATATTTCTAAATACTAAAAGAATAGTACACAACTTTGATTAACCAGGGTGGCCACAGAATTTAGAGCCAAAAAATTTTCTTCGACTGACTTTGACTAGATTTTCATTCTTCAAATCACATTTACCCCTCTTTTTGGAAAATTAAAAATTGAAATCATGTGATGAAATATGTCACAGGGATATGATAAAAACAGTGATTTAATCAAATTTATCAATTCATGTTAAGTAATTGAGGTATTAAATGGTAAAGTTGTGGCATCTCAAGTTACAAAGGACATTACTTTCTTTTCAGACACATTATTATATTTGTTTTCTATCTTCTTTCTGTTGAGGTTTTCACAATGATTTCTTCAATCCTCGAGTAGCTGTTTGAAAAGTATTTCTAGAAAGCCAATCTTTTATGAAGCCAACTGAAGTACTAATTTGAAATAAACTTTTTTCATTTTTAATACTGTTGCACAACAGCCAAGACCTAGTCAAATAGCATCTCGCAACATGCTTGGTTTCATAATCAACATTCACATCCAGAGCTCATGGGATGAGATATCTGAGACAGATGGAGAGAGAGTTAGAAATGGTTTCACTTTTTCAGTTCAATAGTGAGATCTGTCACCTGAGTCCAGATCTACCACCTCGAAGATCTAAGATCCATTTTCCTATTCCTTGTTCCACTTCCTGCATAAAAACTGTACACTGAGCAATAAGTCCAATTTTAAGCCATGGTTGCCACCTAAACTGTGACTGTTCTATCCCCCTGAGGGAGATCTCGTGGCTCAAGAGTAGAGTGATCAATGCCATCATAAGATGAATGTTGTTACATCCAATGACCTCCATCAACCTTAGAGAACATAATTAGAGTTCCATCAATCTAAATGGTGGAACTTTAAATTTCGTCAAAGTAGTACCTTTCAATTTTCAAGTCGAACGTTTTAGGTTTTGTGCAGCATGTTCCTTTTTATTGGAATAAATTTCTTTTGGACTTTTATAAAACTCACATAAGCTCCAGTAGATTCCATTCCTCAAATTGGACAAAATGCTTTTTCTTATCTCTCAACTGCTTCCCCTTCTGTAACTTGGTTCAAGTTGACTTTTCTTCAATAAAGAAGTAGTTCAGCTACTGGTATGTCTTCTGAGGTTAAAGTATTATCTTGGTTTAAGAAACTTATTCAGGTTTTCAGTAACAATCTTTACAAGCAGTTCTGTTTGAATATGTTTAGAGTGAAATTCTGTTTCTGACTTTTTTTTAAATAAAGCATTGTATAGCGACAATATCGAATTGTCATTTTAACATTTCTGTGAATTGATCAGTTCTCTTAGGGATTTGATTTGATCTCTGTTTTTATTATGTGACATATATATAAATCGCAAATGAAATTTGGATTAAATGATTTTGACGTTTCTTGACTTTAAAAAACACGACTGAAATCTGCTGCATAAATTTACATTTTACGATTACACAAGTTTACCTTTTTAATTAAAAAATTGAAATAAGTCTGAAATTTTAAAAACTTCTATTTTTTAAATAGCAATGACCAAATTAGCTGGGTAATTGAGGATATTCAAAATTCTCCAACATTTGTACACTATTCTTGACTATTAATCTCCTGAGTGTGGCCACCTGATAACTTTCTGCTGTTTAGTTTAGCTTTAACTGTAAATAACAAACTAAACATTGCACATTGGTATGGGAGCACTTGTTATGATCTCTGAAATTTACATCTTCCGTTAATCTACTCTTCGCCAACAGTAGGGTGAAAAAGAAAAGTCGCAAAAAGGAAAAAAAGGAAAACTATGGAAGAAGCTCCCATAATGCTTTGCTATGAAAGCAAGTAAAAGAAAACGATGAGACTGTCAATAATGCTTTGATTGTGATGTGCATGAGCCAGTCCCATGAGCAGTCTATGTCATCTAAAAAAGAGTCAACTTAAAAAGAACAATTGCTTTTTTTTAATAAACGAATTTATTCAATAAGAAAATTATTTAAAATGTAAGGGAAACATTGCTTATAAATTAGAAACAACCAATTTATAAGATATGGGTTTGTATAAATCTAAGAGGAAAAGGACTGAGTTGACCAGCCAGTTATACCAAATGTTCTCATAATATGGCAAACATTTGATTAGAAAATCCAGTATAATCGATAATCAATCATGCAGGGAGTTCTACTTGTCAATAATAAGTGATTTTATGTACTTTATCATCAAACATCGTTTTCACAAAAATTTTCATGAAAGTTGCAAATTGCTCATTGGGTTACTAATGAAATAGCTTAACATTTAAAACAAAAGAAAGATACATTTTGTGCATTTTATGAATACAATTTTTTCTATTTTTCTTTTCTTTTTTTTTAACAGCCAATGACGAAAAAAAGAAAAGTCCGAAACAAAGTTAGTAGAAGTATTTGCATGTAGATATTTATTTATTTCATGCCTGAATAAATTTATGCACACTAAATAATGTACGATAAGACAGAAGTAACATTGAATTACTTTAAAATTTAATATTGCTTCTCAAATTTGTAATTAAAAGTTTTAGTTTGTAGAAGAGGTTAACAAGCCTTTATTAACATTACAAGACATTTTCATTTGATCAAAAAAAGAACAAAATCACTAAAAAAATTTTAAACAAAAATATTTTTTAAAAACTGTTAAAATTATCCTTAAAACTATATTAATCAATTTGACATAAACCAATATTTTTCTTAATTTGATTTCCTTTAATTTAATTTTTTTGTAAACTTTATAAACCTATTATGTGTATCAAATACACCCTACTGTCTTGGTGCAATGTGTTAGTTTTAATTGGTAACTGTGTGTGTTGGCTTGGTAGATGAGATACCTCACAAAGAACCTCAACAGGAAACAAAACGAGACTTCCAGCCTTCACCTGATGGTAAGCACTCTTCTAAGCGCTTTTCATTTCACGCTGCATGATCCTCTCGATTGTGTATTACAATCTTAATAAGGTGTGGTTTTAGTCTTGTTTGTGCATGGTAGCTTGGTATGGCTTTTACTTCTTGAATTCCACTTTACCATAGAAACTTCTTGAAAGGGAAAAGAGTGTTAAGAAATGAAAATTATAGCTGAATAATCAAACCAGAAGACTTTGATTTGTACAGTCTAAAATTAAATTTTGGTTTTAAACACAAGAAACATTAATTTAAATAATGAAATATCAATAAAAAAATAACAATTTGATTCGTTTTACTTTTATTTTATAAATATTAGCATGAGGTTTTTTTTTATTTTTTGTTTTCAGTTTGCACGATTATTTTAATTTTCAGATGTTTTTATCAATAATATTATGTTCCCGACTGATGCGACAGGTTCTACGTTAATACCTCCAATTTTCAGATCAAAAGGTATGAAAAACATTATGAAACATTTCCTCTATAATCATTTCCAAATCAGTCTCATTCTTTTTTTCTTTCAAAATTCATACCACAAGCCATAACTAGAACCGATGTTGCACTGACAACTGTAAGACCTCTGACTATATAAAAAGCTTCGAATAACAATGTAGTTGCTATCATCATTGAAAATTAACGACAAATTGTTTTTAAAAAATCATTAACATCCTTCCGAACGTGTAAAAGCTGTTGCCTTTTTCCTAGTTTAACATTCAACTCTTGCCCTATTAGTAGATATTTTACAAATAATAATTAACTCTTCAATTGTGAACTGCCTAGTGGATTATTGCCATTTAATGACTTTAATTATGTAAAGACTCTAACAGAGTGTTATTAGCAACAATGGATTAATAATTCTTAACCTTCTGCTAATATTGGCCAGATTTATTACTTAAAAAAAGATCTAGTATTTAACTCCATCTCCTTCATTATAAAAACCTACTCAAAATGGAGGAAATATTTAAAAATTGTGGCAATTTCTTCATGGATACTTTCGCCATGAATCTGTAGATTAGTTATTTCCGATCATCTTTGTCTGTCAGATGCTTTTTGCCATAAAAAACAACTCTCATACCCTTCACAAGAAGAAGAAAGCTAAACCCTATTATAATCACACCCTATTATACCAAAGACACCAAGTTTTTAAGTATAACTTGAGCTTATGCTCAAGTGAAGAAGTTGGAATTCCAGTCATGCAGAACATGGTATTACTCATAATCATGGTGGTATGTGATACTCTAGACAGAGAATGAGCTTTTGACAACACCTTGAAAAGTGCAAAGAAAAAGCATAGACTTCTGATTCCTGCTCGAGGAAGGGGTACAATAACCAATTCTAGTGCTGCTAATTGTAGATGACAGTAATCACAGAGTTTAACATATTAGGATAAAATTAGATGACACTGTCGAATTAAATGCAAAATGCCCTAAACATTGTAGAAAGATGGTGTGAGAAAATGTGTTTAATTATCAATCCTAAGAAAAAATTCTCATACTCTTCACATGAAGGAAGCTAAACTCAAAAACGCCCATTCTAAGTCATAACCTTCTCACAAAAACTAAGTTTTTAAGTATAACCATTGAGCAAGGTTCACGTGGAAAAGTTAGAATAGAGGTCATGCTGAACCTGGTGTTACGCATAATTATTGGAGCACCATGTTATGTGCTAACTATGGCCATAGAATGAGCTTTTGACTACACCATGTACAGACAAAGAAAATAGGTACAGGTGGGGTATGTTCTTCAGCTACTTTAAAAGATAATTCTCATTCACAGTTTGTTGTTTGCAACAATCAAGCATTAAACGCTCTCATCAGGTTGAAGGCGTTACAAACAGGTCTCTTGACATTAATTGTAAGAGTGAGCATTCTTGTTAGGCTTGCCTCATTATTGTCTCCAGTAATAAATTATGATATGAGCTCAAAAATTAAATTTATCATGGATAAAAAACAAAATATCATGGATAAACACACAGTGGACATTAAGTACTTTTAAAAATATTCATAAAGATCAAACAATTCCGATTCAATTTTACCCAAGGGTTATGAAAGTGATTCCTGTCATACAGTAAAGCTTAAAGTCCAACTACATGTTGGGTGTCATGGACAAGGAGCCAGAACCTCTTTTAAATACTTTTTTAGATTATTCTCAAATAAAACGCCTTGGGCTCTACTGGGATTCAAACCCAGAACTGCTAATATGGCAATTCCATTTTGAATGACCTAACCCCATACTTTAAAAGAAAAACTGGCTAAAAGTTTTCCCCAAAAATATTAAAATGTATCTATGAGCAAAGAAAGTTTTAATGAAAACCATAAATGTTCATTATGAAAAGTCTTAATTAAACAAATTTGTAAAACAATTTTTAATTCACTTTCATCCTCTTCGATAATGCATGGTATGTATGAATGTTTTATTTATCAATATGGATAGATATTTTCACCCTACTAGCTTGGCCTTTTTGGCAGAAATTTCCCAAAATTATAGATCCTTAGTAGCAATTTATATTTTATTTGAAGTTTACCCCTTTTGGAACTAAATGTCGAGAGTAACGCCATACAAGAGCAGGTATATTTTATAACATTTGTACTGTTTATGGCCAAAGCAACCCCTTTAAGATTTACTTATTTATATAAAGATTACAAAACTTTTTATAAAATGTAAAATAAAGCATTCAATTTATATCTTGTAAATTGTCTTGTAAAAGTAAGACAACTTGGAATGTATTGTCCCTTGTATGTTTATGTTCAGATCTTCCCCTTAGTTGAAAAATGCACTGGTAAAGAAAAAGCCTGCATATTTTTGTTTTCTTCAATCAAGTTTATTTATACAAGAAAAAATTTTAAAACAGCAATAAACTGGTAGGTAACATATCTAGTAAAATAGTCGACTTTTGTTTCAGCACTGATTTAGTTATGGATACCCATAATTTCACCAGATGTAATCTTTTTTTATTTCAATTTTGTCATAATGAATTGATTTTATTGAATACAACACTTCTAAAATATTGAAGGAAAAGTGAACCTATTAGTATTATGTTATTGTTCTTTACATAAATAAACTTTTTCCACTGACATTCCGATTCATTTTTAGAGTACACATTTACTTTGTGGCATCGGTTCATTAAAGTTATGCACATTTGTAAATCTCAGCAATTAGTTCACATTCATTTAAAATTGTAGATGCTCAACACCAAAATACAACATAAATTGTTTTTATGTGATTTAAATATCAATGTTATGCATGCTGGAGTATTTTTGCTTTTGGAGATGTTTTTTTTTTATTGAAATGCCTAGAGTGTAAATAAACTAAACAATGTGTTGGACAATTGTAGGACCAAAGCCAGGACCGCCGAGAAACCTTTCAGTTACTGAGATAAGTAACGGGTTTTTAATAACATGGCAAGTTCCTGCTGAGCGAAGCGATTTAGTTGCTTATTACACAATTAAGTATAGGACGGATGGACCTTGGAAGACTTTAAACAAAGGTCAGATAAGGCCAGAAGAGACTTCTTATCTAGGTACATCCCTAAGCCGATAAAAGTTCTCAAATATAAACTTATTGTTATTTTCCTTCAACAGTAAAAAATTTGGTTGGAGGGCGGACATATCACTTTCGAGTGCTTGCCAATTCACTAAAAAGCTACGAGAGTTCTGAAGAGGTCAAATTCCCAGTTCCCGCAAGGGTGAAGCACAAAGCGATAACTGCCGGAGTTGTTGGGGGTATCCTGTTCTTTATAGTCGCCATTATTCTTTCAGTCTGTGCTGTTAAAATTTGTAACAAACGGAAACGGCGAAAACAGGAAAAAGGTATAGGTGTGAATGAACGGTATCAATAGATTTTGTTTAATTATATTATTTTTGTTCATTTTAGAATATAACATGGTCGCATGTCGGATATCAGACACGAGAAACGGTGGGCAAGCAGCTCCAGTTAGTCAAGTGCCTTTGAAGAAGTGAGTACCAACAAATTTTTCCCATTTGTTTTTCTTGATTTATTTTAAAATCTCACACTTTTATGTTAGAAAAAATGTTTTCTTCAGAACAAATAAAAAAGTCTTAAAATTTCACTTCTGTTCACAAATGGGTTTGTGATTTTTAATTTTTTTTTTTTTTTTTATTATTACAGACAGTGTTTTGTTTTTCTCACTGGTTTGTGACGGTTTGTGGCAATAAATGGTTGCAGCACCATCCCTACCAAATTTGTTAATCTGTGTTATTTCAATATTAATTATTAGTTTGATTATAAACCTCTAGAAGCTGGTTTAGAAAGTTTTACTCAACATTGAATAATTAATATTTTCAGTCTAGGAATTAGTTTTTGTTGCATGGTTTTCTTTTTCAAAGAAAAATATACACTTGTTAACTTACTTTACACAGCTTTACACGACAGAATCTACTTATTTCAGTAAATTCGTGTGATATAAATTTATTTTTATATAGTTTATAAATTTGCATACAATAATCATAAATGTTGATCATTTAAATAATTAATTTTTGCATTTGACAATGCATTTAAGGGTGGCTTAATGACAACAAAGTTAAAATCTTTTCTATAATTACTTTGTCTTGCAAATAATGGTACTATGGAGCTTTTTTCAAAGATTTTCTTGCTATCTCTACCCCAAGAAATTTTTTTATATGGACATTTCAAATTTTCTTTCCTTTCTTCCCTTGTATATAGGAGATGATTTTCATTTCAGTCCATCACGCACCTCTTCTATGTTTATAAACAACACTCGAGGGTTTAAAGTTTACAAATTTTCTAATTATGATCAATCATTTTATAGGGTATCTCTGAACATTATAAAAAAGGTAGGGACTTATAAAATGTGAGCTTTTTCCCACAAAACTAATGTGTAACGTAGTCAATGTGTATTATTTCTCTTAATAGAGTCAGCACGTATCCTATCTTCTTTAGGTTTGAGTTTTGGCATTTTACCTGACCAAACCAGCAAGCCACGCTGAAACAACGGAAAACGCCAACTCACAAGATTAAAATTCAAAAAAGCATCTATATTAGGAGATATGAACCAAAGTTGACAAAATACTGCCTCTTGGATTATGCCTTGGATATGGCAATAAACTTAAGAAATATTTCACCCTTGATATGTACAGCAGTCTTACAATCAGAATTACACATTATTAAATACAAATAAAGAAATAGACCCATCTAACTTCAAACTTATTCGGCAAAGTTTTAAATGAAATCCTTTAATCATAACACGTTAACTAACTAGTTTTACTAGGTGAAAGCAATCTTGGACCTATTACCATTAAGGGAATATATATTTTTGAAGAAATTTGTCTGCAGACACTGTGAAGAAAAATGAGACTCTGGTGTTAATATAATTGTGGATTGTTTAAAAACAGGAGTCTTACAATCAGAATTACACATTATTAAATACAAATAAAAGAAATAGACCCATCTAACTTCAAACTTATTCGGCAAAGTTTTAAATGAAATCCTTTAATCATAACATGTTAACTAACTATTTGGTGAAAGCAATCTTGGACCTATTACCATTAAGAGAATATATATTTTTGAAGAAGTTTGTCTGCAGACACTGTGAAGAAAAATGAGACTCTGGTGTTAATATAATTGTGGATTGTTTAAAAACAACACTCAAATTGAAACCCCTTACAGAACTTATACAGGTTAAGTACGAATTTCTACCTTTCCTCCACTGCAACTTATGTATGTTTATTGTGGATCCTGTACTGTGTTACTGTATATAAGATTTGTGTTTAATACTCCCACAAAACTAAGCACTTCCCTCGGTCCTCTTCACTTTTTTATTCTTGTCTGAGAATTACCAAAGTGGCTGTAGTTATGTTAGGATAGTTGGGCTATATTCAGACTAATGCGTCACATTCACAAAGGATTTGTGCCATGCCTCTGGTTTCTCTTCACTAAAGTGACAGTGTTTCTTGTATTACTGCTGTGCTAATCTTATTGAAGTGGTGGTAAAGAAGGGAATGGCCGAATACCTTGGCCTTCCTTATTTTAAAATTTGCAAACCTCTTAACTTGCTTTATACTTGGTGGTTTTGTCCACTGTGTGAGTTTTTTCTTTCTCAAGCCATTTTCTCATCTACAGCGCACCTAGTTGTGGTTCCATGGATAAGAGGCCCTTCTTTGACTAGCTGGCCAGCCTGTGTATTTCCTTCTATATCTCATGTCCCAGAACTCATCACAAGATAATTTTGTTAACCTATGTCTATTAGGAAATTTAGGCATTCCAGGAATCATTTGTTGTCCTTTGTCTAATCAGCACATCAGTTTCTTGGAGTTAATTGATATAATATATTCATTTACTCTACCAAAACAACAAGACTATAAAAATATTTTTGTTTCCTTTAATACATGCTGGATTTTTACTTTTAAATTTTCAAAGGATGTTCTTGTTCTTATCCTGATTATTCTGATCTATTTGTCCTCATTTTTGTCTCGTTTGCCTTTCATCATTTACTCATATTCAGAGGTGGGTTCAATGTGTCCTTTTTTTAATGATATCCACTTTGACATTCCTCTCAATTTCTGGGTTTTAGAACTCAGCAAAGGGTTGTTCTATATCCCCAATTTTTTAATTTGGTTATGTCCATTCATTGAGGTATGTCTTTTTCCTGCTATTTAGCCTGTTAAATGCATTTTGGCATTTAACTTTCTTCAGTAGTCGGTTTAAGTTCAACATGTAAGTCCATTTTGGTAATGGTATTCACTTTTACATTTCCCTCAATTCCTGGGTTAGGAACTCAGCACATAGCAACTGTTTTACAATTAAAATTCTTAAAATTTGAGTGGATGTGGAAGATTGATAAAAAAAGTTCTATATTCATCTGTTCGCACTCATCAGAGGGTCATTTTATATCCCAAACATGTTTAATGTTTAATTTAGCCTTGCAGGCATTCCTGGACTGGTTTGTAGCTAGAAATATATGCATCTAGTGCCTTTTTAGCTGAATGTCTGCTCGGAAGTATATCCGTTCTTTCATTTTATTCTTTATCAACTCCCGCCCTCTAACTATTTCATGGACATCCGCTTGGAAAATAGTTGCAAGCAGTCCAAGGGGTTTGCCTATGGTGATTCCATAAATGTACCTTCCTGAAACTTGGGCTTGCCTTTCTTCCAAAAATATCTTTTATTTTTTATTGTTGTTGCCTAATTATCAGCCTTAACAATCTATTAATAATTGTTTTAGTTTATGTTTGATAATGATGATGTAAAGATAATTTTTGTTATCTACCTAACACCTTTGAAACTGTAGCAATTTTGATATGACTTACAATGTTTTTTTCCACTTTTGAAGTTTTATTAATCTAAAATTATTTAGATCTAATAATTATTTTTTAATTAATCTTAAAACATGACAATAATCTTCTCAACATCATGTAAATAGGCATTGGTTATGGTAAGACCAATCAATAGTTAACATATAACGTTTAATCTGTTAATATTAATGAGTAAACTTTAGCATTTGATTTTTTTTAATCTTAATAATTTTTCTTTGTTAATTTTCTGACTGGGTTTAAAAAAATTTTAATACTAAGTACAATAATTGAGTAAAGTGATGCTGAAAATCCCTGTCTTCTGAAACACAATAATTTTGATAGATGAATAGTTTTCTATTTAAATTTATTAAACATTCCTTATTAATTTTAAAAATTCTCAAAGAAAATCAAGTTTAATATTATTATTATTTTAATTTACAAGACTTTAGTTCTTTTGTGAGTTTTTTAAGTGTATGAGTCTTTAAGATTTAAGCTATAATGGTTTATGGTAAAAATTCTTTTTGCTTCTTGTAGGGTTGTTGGATCCTATCGGGATTACAGCCTTGAGTTGCCATAGAACTCCACAGTAAGCTAAAACCAATTTTCTGTTCCCAGTTCACTTATTAAGAAGCTTGCTAATCGCTTTCACTGTGTCCTTTGTGTTTACGGCACTTGGTTATACGACTATCTCCACAACAGGATGATAATACTGATAATCGCCTTCCTACTAACATTAAAACACCAACATGACTCTTTTCATTTTTTTAACACATATGGTTGAAAAAAGTGCCACTACTAATTTATCATGCCCTGAGTGCTTGCTGATTGTTTTGCTTACATGCTTAATGTGTTTGTTGATCATAAAAATGAAATGTTAAGAAATTTAAAAAAAAAAAAAAAAAAAAAAGGCCAACAACTCTGCAAGATGGAGACATTGAAATGTCGGATATTTTCTTTTAAATGTATTAGCCTTCTTAAAGAATAATTAAATCTTATGAAAATTTCCTTTGTTTGCTGGCCCATCCAGGAGGACTAAAGGTGAAGAATTAGCAGTCTGTTGAAGAAACCGGTACATTCCAATAATGCATGACAAATATTGCTTGTAAAAAATCCCTATATATCATATATGATGGTGTAAATTGATTTAAAGCAACAAATTTTATCAATACTAGATTATATTCAACGGTTTTACGTATAAATATTAATATAAATAGTGTGCTGACAGTGTGTGTGCGCGTCTTTGTGATTTCATCCACATGCATGTTTTATCCATTGTTTTGTTTGTTTTATAACATTATTTTGTCATTAAATTAATTGTCAGCATGGATGTTGCTTTAAAGCTGTATTTAAAAATAAACAAAATATTTAAATATAGTTTTGTGTGTATATACATGTGTGTATGGGTATTCATTGTACAATTTGCCATTTTATTTATCTCAATTAATTGCTTTATTACAGAAGTCTACCTCTAATATACATATAAACCTAAAAGAATTATGCTAATGCTAATTTTTTTTTTTAAGATCGCATCTTAATTTTTGAAACAATAGCCAAACCTGAGGGAAAGATGCGGTAAATTCAAAATAATATAATTCAGACATTTTGTGATATGTCAGCATTGTAAGACAACTTGGAATCTTAACTGATTTAGATTTCATTTTAATATGAAGTCTATTTATAGGAGAGTAAACTGTTTACATTCTCTCTATTTTAGACATTCTGAATTTTAAATAAACAATGATTAATATTCATTTCATTTTTCAAAATAAAATTGTGTTCTTCCATTTCTAAACGAGAAATTTAATCAAATTTTATAGAAGAACATACTTTATCTTCAATTTTGTGAAAATTATAACAGTTTCTTTTCAATAATTCAGTCAGACAGTCTGGCTCTTTTATTTCATCCATTCATAAAGGATTAGTTTTTTTTTTTTTTTTTTTTTTTCATTCAATGGGAATTAGTAAGGAATTTTCAGTTATTCAGATTGCAAGCAAGCAAAAATTGAACCATACATAAAGTAAAAAATTAACTTTGTTTTTCTTCTTTCAGAAATAACAAAAGCCGAGTACCAGGTATGAGTCCAATTTGTTGGTTTTTCAAGAAGAGAAGTTCAGAAGTCGACCCTAACTGGGATGCTGATGTGTATCTGAGGAGCAGCCATCACGTGGGGAAAATATCAAGAGACAGAGATGGTCGATTTGTTCTAGTGGATTCTGCTGAAAGCACGACAAGTTCTGATGATGGGGGATTTCTGTCGAGGCCCGGATTCCGCAACATTGCTTCTTGGAGGCGGCCGTTGGTCGGTTACCCAAGTGACATGAGTTTGAACTCGACTGTGGTGACCCCCCAGCTCCCAACGATCTACTCTCCGAAAACGACCCCGTTTCGAGCGAGCTCTCCCACATCTTCCATAATGCCAGCACTGACGCCGGTCATGTCTCCGGTCTATTTCTCTGATCTGAGCTCGGTGAGACAAAGTGCTGAACAGACATTGAAAAACGTGCACCAGCAGTACAGCCAAGAGTTGCCGTCTCTACATGCAATACAGGAACAACAGAGGAGGAGGCGTTACATACCAAGGCATGTGAGGTCTGCACCAGACTTGTTTATGGAAACATCACCAGAGAGTCGATCTAGTTCGAGTGGTTTCGGCTCCAAAAACACATCTCAGCAGAACAGCTCTGGAAACTCGGACTGGAGGCTGGCGTACAGATCCCCTCCTCTGCCTCCTCCACCACCTCTCTGGCTGCAGTACACTTCAGCCTTTCCTTCACCCACCCAATCGGAGCTGAGCCAAAGACCGAGTGTGGATGATCATTACGAGTTCGACGTGTATCCCATATCTCCAACACCTCCAGAAATTTCCCCTGCGCTTAGAATGAAATACGACAACATCGAGGCGAGAGTCCAGGCAATGAAAGAAGAATTCCATGCTTTTAGAGCGAGACAAGCGAGGAGGATGCGTACAGAAATCGAGAGTGCTTGCTGACATTAGAAACCACAATGACCCATAATTTGGACTCATTTGTTTCCCTTAAAATAGTATCATGCTCCGTTTACAACGTAAATAACGAAAGCATTTAAATTCTAAACAAGGTAGTATGTAGTAGACTTACAAAACTTTATTTTATAAAATCAGGAGTATTATATTATACAGAGCAATATGTTGTGTTGAAGTGTAATGACTTCAACAATAGCCTGATGCACCAGAATAAAATGTATAAATTGTAAAAATATAATTAACATTTCTTTTTTTCTATGAAAATATTATTTTATTATAGTATTTGATGATGATTTGTATCAGGCTGTTTACAAAATACTGCCATTTAACAGTGTTGGACAAGTTTCCCCATTCTGGAGTTGAGTCTGAACCAATGTCATATATACATTTTAAATACCCTACAATAAGTGAGAGAGACAGTTTATAATATTGTAGAGTGCACTACAAAGAAGGACAATTTGTGAATAAAAAACAAAACTCTAAACATTATACTAATTATATATATATACATGAAAATATATAAAATATTACATATATATATAAAACATATAAGTACCTATAATACTTAAGTTAAAGTCATATGATTAAATTTCTGTTACCGCTTGTAATTGAACTGAGAACTTGCGATTGTCAATTACATTTAAGAGAGGATTACAAGTAATTTAAGCGTTATGTTTTCATTTCCAAAAGAAACTATCCTTCTTGAAAAATCTGGTTATCGGATTGATTTCAATTAAATGTTACAGAAAGTATCAGTAAATTTTATAATTCAGTAAATTAACGCATGTAATATAGAAATTTTATGCACCATGCACATCTTATTAATTAAATTCAACACTGAAAAGAAAAAAGTATTTAAAATATTATTATTTTTAGAAGAAAAAAAAGAGTGAATGATGCAAATTCAGAAATTTTGCAAAATTTAAGTAGAGAAATTGTTATTAAAAAAGTACTTTCTTTTTCATTTATCATTGTATATCATTCTTTAAAAAAACAAAAATATTGTAAAAAAAAAAATATATATATATATATAAAAAAGAACTCTTTTCACTATTAAACGAATAAAATTTGTCTGTACTCAGTTCAAATATTAAGCGCAACAAGCAGCCTTTCTGATGTATCATTCTGTTAGCTCTATTTAGTCTGTACTTACCCAAAGTAGAGGGTAAGTTGCATTGTCCTATTTAATCAAAAAATCAAGAACAACGGAAAGTCAATAAATGATGTGTGTACATGTAATGAAGTTCAGGTGCACAATGTTATAAATATATATATATAAATAGCGGTTTTACAAATGGTGTCGTTTTTATAATGATTTGACATCTAGTGATCAATAATAGTTTATATTATTACGATAAGAAAAATGAAATTCTAACGCTTTACTGACCCTTACACCATCTCATTGAAACCTTTCTGAGAATTAAGCATGTTGTGTGAGAGTTACGTGTGTGATAGAGTTATTTATGAGAGAGAGAGAAAAAAGATGACGTGAAATAAAATATTGTATCTTTATTAATTAAGGGGAACTTCTTCTAGACATGCTGTGTGTAAAAAAAAAGGTATAAAAATAAATTGAAAACTTTTTAGGGCATAAAAAACAAAATTAATTGTGATATATTTGTACATAACTATTAGAAATTTTAAATTCAATATTATATGCTAGAAGTTTGGTACTAAAATAATTAATTTTACATTTTCTTTTTTCAGCTTTTTGAAACAATTGACGAGGAATGGAAAAACAGTTGCTCAAATAAATTCCCTGCAACTTTGAAATATATGTATGTAATACGATTACCACAGCACGTTTGGAAAATACGAGTTGTCTCATATCGAAGCTTTATCTATTCAATTTATCCATATTGAAATCCAAAATGTATTAATATTCTAGAAAAAATTATTTATTTCATTTTTATTTATCGAGATGGAGATATTTGATATGTTAAGGCTTCAATATCAGTCAGCCCCTCAATGGCTTATTATGGCTGGGTCCATACTTCACATTCTAAAAGGTCTTCAACACTTGAAAAATAAAAAGTAAAAAAAAATATATATATAAAAAGAGTTTTTTAAAAATCAAGAAAAATAAAGAGAAGTGTGCTAGACACTGTTTTGTATAGGTTTTCGTTTGTAAGAATATATTTATTGTCGACCGTCAAGCTATATATATACAAAACAAAATAAAATAAAATGGAAAAAGTGCAATCACATTCTACTGTAGACTATTTACTTTGAGTACAAAATAAATGTTTTAGAATTGTTAGAGATTGTTTTATAAATATACATTGTAAGTATGTTGTATTGATTTTCATTTTCAGAAAACAAAATAGTCATAATTAAGATTGTTATTTTTAATTTAGCTATTGACTTTGTTTCTTGGCATTAAAGAAATAACAATGCCTATATGTATTAAAAATTCAGTGCTGCTTTGGCACTGGCTTTGTTATCTTTTATATTTTTTAATTTAATTTATTTTGTTCACTTTAAAGGCAAAAGCAATAGGAAAACAGAGTATTTATTTTATTCATTGAAATGTCTTCATAACAAAAATCATCAAAAAATCAAAACAAAATTTCTCATTCAAACATGTACATCCATTTTATGTACACAGAGCAGTTTTCAATTTTTTTTTTTTTTTTTTTTTTTTTTTTTTTTTTTTTTTTTTTTTTTTTTTTTTACTAATTACTGCCTAAGCTATTGCCTTTAAAACCTAATGTAAGTTTGTAAATATTATAAATAATGTCATTTGTTTTGAAATGTCTGCATTCATTCTTATGGGATTGTATATTTCTCTGTTTTTTGATCTCAAGGTATGATTTCCTAAGCCCAGAGTTTTCTTCTTTTTTTTTAAATTATTTTTGATGGATAAAATGAATAAAAAAAGGGGAACTTTTTTTAGAATATTTGTTTTGTATGATAATTTTACCTAGTTTTAATTTATACCATTGAAGACTGAAGAGAATAATATGCTATTGTATATTTCATTTTATTGAGTTGTATAATTAAAATGAAGTTTGGTCAAATGATAGTGCATGTAATATGTTAATTTGCATGTGTAATGTATTTCACTCATCCAGAAATACTGTAAAGTCTTAAATTATCTGAAGCCATTATCATAAAAAAAATTGTTTGTCATATGATGTCTTAATTCTTATTAAAAAGATTTATTTTTCATAATTGTAACATTTGGGATTTGATCTCAGCTTTATTATTATTAAGTTGATTTATTGTAGTGATTTTATTTATTTTTTAGGTTGTATAAATAAATTTCACCAATGTTTATGAAAAAAAATCTTCATAAATGTTTTATTTCATCGTAACGATGATGATAATGGCTCAAGTTGTGTATAAACAGGTCGTATGAATAAGTGTTGTCACCATTGAAAGATCACTGATCATCTTTTTTACCACATGAAATTACAATAATGTTACACTGTGTATAATACTTATGTATTTATTTAAATAAAGTAATTGAGTAGGAAAATATATTCTAAAAATGGTGCATTTGTTACAAAGTTGTTTCTTTCTTGTATGGACAAATTTTTTCAGAAGACTATGGAACCCTAGTTTGTAAATTTACAATTGTAATTTGCAAATATGTAAATAACACTTAGCATGAAGTCATTGTATCAGAAATATTAGGTGAAAAAACAAACTAAACACGAGTTGTCTTAATACCCATGAATTTATATACCACAGCAACATTTGGCAGGATTATAACTTAATAGACAAATTTATCTTCTCATCCAGAAATTTAAAATGAATATTATTACTCAACGTGAAAAAAGTAGTACTACCTTTATCAGGAATAACATGATAATAAACTCAGGAAGTGTTTTTTAACCAATGCAGAAATGGTAAGCTTAGTATTCTTTGTTCTCTTGCTAAATTCAGGTATATTTACTGGTTATGAATTATTGATTTAAATAAGCTCAATTCTTCCATCCAGGGTCAAATTTTGGTCTTACCCATCGCACTGCAGAAATTAGGCACTCAACGACTAGTTCATTTCAACCCCCATGCATGCAAATTTAAATCAAAAACCATTCACACTCTTAAAAACATTCTTTCCTGTTTAAACAATAGAATAAATTACAGTGGTTACTCATATGTTGTATAGCTAATTTAACTGAGTTGATGGGTGTCCAATATTCCACTGTCATCCCTCTCACACTACACATTCGCGCTAATAAATAATTTTCTCTTAATATACACAAAACAAGACATATATCAGATACAATAAAACAGCACGGTTTCCTCCAAAAATTGGAATAGGGAAGTCATAAAAGTAATTTAAAAATAAATAAGAATTGAAAAATGGCCATATTTATTGACTCATCCCAATAATGATTTTATGGCTTGAAAAAAATTAAAAATCATTGTAGATCAAATATTTAAAACTGATCATGTGTCAATGATGAACAGGCATTGCTCCGCATGAAGCAATTGTGGAGCCCCCATCAGAGTTAATTTTCTCTAATCCTTGATGCAGGAACTGAGCCAGCTATTTCGTTTGGCGAACAAAATAATTGCAGTTCCTTGAGGTAAGAAAAAACTTAGTCAAACCAGTAGATAATTATATTAATTTACCACCTCCCCCTATGTTTAGAAGTTTGGGGTAATTTTACAATTGCTCCTTGACAAGTGGCCATAGACTTTCGCTGTTACCACTCGTTCCACAGTTTGTACAATTGTAAGTCCTGTGGTTTAAATTAATTTTTGCCTCTTTATAGTTCTTCTAATGTTTAGTTCGATAATAATCATTCCAATTTTTTGACAGTATACTGACTTTTCCATTACTCTTGAATTTAAAAAAAAATATTTAGTAGTTAAATTCACTAATTTCGTGGTCCGCTTGACCAATTAATTGTAAATTTAGTAGTTAAGTTGAATTTTAATGATTTTGTATTTTCCCAAAATAAAAAAAATCTATAAGCTGGGTATTGCCAGTATTGTGTTTTGGTAAGTGCACAATAATTGAAGGATTATTGTGAGATTTCCTCTTGTCATCTGTAGGGTGATGAACCATAATTTGATTCTTACTGGTCACCTATCTAGGCTGGTCGGTTGTCATAGGCCAGCTTTTCGCCATCTTCACTATCTGACAATACACAAATGGCAAAGTTAGGTGAACCAAAGATCGATTTTGGTCAAATACGGTCACTATTATCCAAGTTTTCAGTTCCTGTCTAAGCCAACTAATTTACATATTATGAGATATCTGTAAAAAAAATCCCTCACTGAAAATGGGGAATAGTTGAAAGCCGATTAAAAGACCAAACAGCCAAATAAAAGGTAGTATTTTATTTTTATTGTATCCAACATGTTAGGCAGATCAGAGACCGATTTTTGTTGAAACATTGATCACTATTTTACCAATATCCCAGGTTTTCAAATCCTATCACTGTTTAAATCTCTCAATTTGAAATATTATTAGGTTTTTACAAATCCACTGCTGCATACGGCAAAATGATGATACGCATCATCTAGAGAGGTGGAGTAGGCAGAGATGGGTTCACCATCAAAGGTTAGGCCCCCCATTATGTTGGAGGAGCGGCGGAAGGAGAAGGAGGCGGCTGTCGCCAAATTTATCAGGTTTCTTGACGAGATCAGGAGAGAAGATAGGTGGTTGACCAAGTGTGTTGGGATAGTTGTATCTTTTAATTCTATGTAAAAATTTATTTACCGTAGAGCATCGCCATTTTTTTAATACAAAACGTATCTTCATAATTAAATCTTATTTTAGTAATAGTTTGTTTTCAACAGGTCCACCTAATAGGTTCATGACCGTACATGTATGTCCCACCCTTATAATTTGACAAACCTGTTTGTG